AAATGGGAGTCCTCAAAGATAAAGGGGGAAGATACATAGAACACAGTCAGCTACCCCTTTTGAGAAATATGTAGGGCATATGAATGAAAATTGTGAGACACACCTAAGATCCTTTCAAACTGACTAATGCTTTTTATCCCCAGTTTGTAGCTAGCAGTATTTATTAAACAGTACTAGTACTAGTTTTACTTATTTTGCACTTATGACTAAGCTCAGTATTGAGATGGAACAAACCAATTAATTCAATAATATATTCCAATCAATTATAACATAAGGAACCTCTAAACTAAAAGCTCCATAATATATAATATTACAAGTAAGTAATAAGTGTATTGTTCTGACTGCAGGTCATAAGAACACATAGTAGCATTAATCTCTCTACATTCCAAATGACAAATCCATATTTATTTTAAGACATTTTCACAGGGCCCATGAAAAAGAAGCATTTTAAGTACTTTTTAAGTGATCCAATCCCAGGCATAATCTTGGTGGGAATCTATTCCAGTGGAACAGCGTCAGGTGATAAAAGCATGATGTGGCTCTTCTAGTACATGATAGAATGAAATGTCCCTGGTGTGGCTACTGGTTCAAGTTCACAGGTACCTGAGCCAACAGCAGGTCTTTCGAATAATCGGGTAGGCCCATATGCAGGGCATGATGTACTGACCCCATCAATTCATATGGTTATCATTCTCAAATTCCCAACCAGTGTAACAACTGGCAGTAAAAAGAGATAGGGGCAAAATAAGGAAGGTTCAGAATAGTACAAACAACAGCATTCTGGACACAAATCAAAGGGCAGAGTGAGGTCTTAGGTAACCCAGCCAACAAACTGCTGTGATAGTCCAGGGACTGAACCAAGACCCTGACCGTCTCAGTAGTGAGGAACTGACATATTCTATAGACTTTATAAAAAAATGGAAACTCTCTTTGCTTTTTAAGTGATCCAATCCCAAGCATAATCTTGGTAGGAATCTATTCCAGTGGAACAGCATCAGCTTTCGAATAATCGGGTAGGCCCATATGCAGGGCATGATGTACTGACCCCATCAATTCATATGATTATCATTCTCAAATTCCCAACCAATGTAACAACTGGCAGTAAAAAGAGATAGGGGCAAAATAAGGAAGGTTCAGAATAGTACAAACAACAGCATTCTGGACACAAAAAACGTCAGCGTTTTTTATCACCTGATGCTGTTCCATTGGAATAGATTCCCACCAAGATTATGCTTGGGATTGGATCACTTAAAAAGCAAAGAGAGTTTCCATTTTTTCATTGAATGGTTTAAAGACAGTCTATCATAGATTTGGACTCCTATGTTCCCCACTGTTGGGGAGATCTATAACTGGCAGCCTGGATATTTAGAGTAGAAATAGAAAGGAGAGGGATAAGATTGTCAGGGTGAACACAATCGTCTCTGCCTTATCCATATGCAGTTTAGGTTGAGGAGCACATCAAATCTAAAATCTTACCTAGGAAGTTGGAAAGAGATGTCTACAATCTGTCATCCAGAGTAGGGACAGATGAATAAACCAGAAATTCATGAGCATGTATGTGGTAGATGAACTTGGAATATGAAGTCAGATAGCCTAGAGGAAGTATAAGGGATTTATTATATAAATAAAGAGAAGAACAATAGATTTATTACATAAATACTTATATAATAATATTTGAATCGTTAGTTAATCCACGAAAATGTAGACGTCCATGGAATACAATTTTTGAACCAGCCGTTCTACTTTCAAAGCAGTTTAAGACCAACTCATCTGCAACCTACCGCTGTGGTGCCAATCTACATGAAACAAAATGCGTTGATGGATTATGGG